CACTCATATATTACCTCATGAATACTGTTGGACATAAATTCTTCGTATTAAAGATTATAAATAAATAAATTATACCAAAGATTGATATATTGGTGCTATCTGCTAAGTCTGTACCATTTTATAATATTGTATCACTTACCATTCTCAGTGTTACTGGCTGTAGAGAACTTTCTTTCATATATATTTATATATTTGTGTATTATTAACCATTTATAAAAATATATTTGAAAGACTGATAGGTCTTTGCCATACTTCGTCCATGGGTGCTGTTAACCTTTTCTTTCCTGATTTTAGGGCCTCAGACCAACAACTTTGGTTCGTCAGAATCAAAAATTTCTTAATGGTCAATAGTATTCATCTTCAAAAAATGAATTCGATCATGCCAATTCACATTCCCAGATGAAGCTGTGAATTGCATATGTTACGTAATATTTAAGCTAAACCACGAAAAGTCATACGACGTTGGAGAGACAGTGACCAAAGCCGCTTCTGTAACTTACTAGCGAACCATCAACCAGCATCTCAGTCAAGTACAGACGAACAATACACCACCCTATAGATTCAGGAACCAAAGGCAAAGATGATGACTGCTGAGGCTCAGAAAAATTGTCTATCTTATATACAAAACCGAACAACAAGCGTACAAACTTTCGTTGAAATCAGAGTGGAGATCAATGTCATACCACCGTAGATGGAGAGAAGAGAAACATTGGTACCACGTTAGTATTCAAAGAAGCAAATACGTCTGATATAAAAATGCATAGGATACGAAAATTAATGAACTTTGGCCCGTCGTTTAGTCAGAATTTGTAGCGGCAGACATGTCCGTACCCAAACTTAGTATAGATTTCCTGCAAACGCTTAATTTATTGGTCGATCAAAAACAACAAGCTTTTAAACAATGGTCATGCGAAAACGATTAGAGGGGTCAGTACAGACTCGTCACCGATGAACTTGGTAATGTTCCAAGTGTCTTCTAATCCACACGCTCCATCGCTAACAGAATTTTCCAAATTGACGATAGTGTCATGAAGAAGCAAATATTCTGAACATGAGGTACAGCACGACATAATGATGAAATTATCACTAAATGAGGTTAGACCCAGCAAAATTGGAGATAGAGGAAGGTGATTCTGATAGATCTATGAACAAATGCATCATTCGACCGTCTAGCAACCTAGTAATCTCCGTTGTCTATGTTAACTAAAAAGGAAGAAATCTAACCACTTGGCGACTGTCAGGCCCTGAATAAACAAACTCTCGCAGATCGGTACCCAGACCGTGTATCCACGGCTTTGATAACAGTATATACGGTGCAGTAATATTCTCGAAGACTGATTTGGTACGTACACATCATATGTATATGCCTCCAGTTAATGCATAGAAAACAGCCATTACAACGCCTTTTGGGTTGTACAAATTTTTAAGCATGCCATTGGAATTAACGAACAATGGCCAGACATTTCCATGCTATCGACCAGATAACCTGAGGCATACCAATTGTGTACATTTATATTGACAATCTGGTAATTACAAGTGCGTCGGGAGAAAAACAACTACAGTGCCTCAGACAAATATTCGCAAAACTAACGAAATATGGAGTGGTTATATACCCTGAGAAGTGTGTGGTAAGAAATAGTTGTATTTCCTGGCTTATGAAATGGGTACGACACCTATCCCATCCGATTTAAAAGCAACTTTTGAAATTGGTAAATTTCTGTGGGTGATTCATTTCATTCTGTGTTGCTCCATCTCAACCACTAACAAATATATTGCGAGGACATATGCGTACTTCTTATTTCCTGACCAAAGTCACACAGGCATTTGAACACGCCAAAAACTTACTAAACGAAAATATTGCTGGTTCAAAAAAAAGTCATTACTAGCTATAATGACAGAAGCATCGAACTTGACCATATTAGCCGTTTTCTAACAGTCGGTTAATGAAAAATGGGAACCTCTGTCTTTCTTTCCTAAACGACTGAGTCTGACTCAACCGAGATGTAGTACTTTTAGCTGGGAATTATTAGATATATATCTAGCAATAAGGCACTCTAGATACACGCTTGAACAAAACAGCTTTATGTCCTATCAACGTTACGAAGACATCCTCGACAAACTGTGTAAGACTTCACATTGGTATTCGGGCATCAATTAAATTAGTTAGAGATCTAGATGATCTCAAATAAATGGTGATTTATGGCAATGATCACAAACTTTTATAGTGTGCCAAAGGTCTGAAGTACATCAACATACTACTACGCCAATTGGAAACATTAATGAGCTAGAACGTCTATCATTAAATTACTGTACATCATATACATATAAACATGTAGCTTTTAAAAGTTTGTGGCAAGCCCATTTGGCTACTGTATCATTTATCTAGTCATTGTAACTCAGACTCAATTCACTATGTTAATTTCGGTGTGTATGATCGAATGTATGTCTGTACATAAACTCTTAAGCTATTTTCCTATTGGTTTGAATGTGTAGATAATCGAGAATCTATCCACACACGATTAACTCTCAAATATATATGGATTTTTAACAGACTCACTCACTCTCTCTGTTTCATCGTGTGCTTGCTCACCGTACGCTTGTGGATTATTATTATTCATTAACAATAAACTATCTCTATAACTGGTGTTCAGGCTTTTTAATAATCTCGAGTAAATTCGCAATTCTACTAGGAGATTAAGCCTACCTAAAATACTCAGTTACAGGATATTATTATTTGGAGTCAGATATTGAGGACATTATCCTCAACAAGTTTTATGATATTATATTATTTTCTTTTGCCCTATGTGCCCACATTAACTTGCACGTACATTTCAATTTTATAAAATTCTTTTGTGTACACTAATCATTTAAAAGTTTGAAGCTCAAAAGTCTAATATTATTTTGATTCATTATTATATATAGAAATAGGAAATTTCAAACGGTGGATAAAGAATATAGATACAGACCAGTGTTAAAAAAAAACTGGTTAATCGGAAAGAATAACCATGATATACAGAAATTACTGAGATATAAAATATGCATGAATTTTACGAAGTGTCAAAATGTTATGATATCGACATACTATACACAAGCATAATGCGGGTTAGCGCATAAAAACTTCATCGTGTTAATCTATTGTGCATGAATACACATTAAGTGATATATTTCATTTTGAAAACAAAACTAATGAAAATCTTATGGGAACATTTTAGAAATATTTTTGCAAGTTTATCGAATTACAAAACAGCCAATTGCCGAATTTATTATTAGACACGTATGAAGCTAGATAATTGAGCAAACAAGATACCAACAGATATAAAGCTTAAAATTACATAATATATGAGTAAATAATTCAGAAAATTGTAACAAAATGTAATCATTATTGCTGAAGGTATTGAAATTCCCGTTAACGTAATACTTATTCCCAAAATCTATCGCGTTCAGCAGTGAAAGCTATAAATAAATGGATGGAGACGCAGTACATTGACTATTAGGTTCTAGACTGGGTAAGAACTTTTTTAACCAAACAATGTTAACAAAGGAGCAGCGTATTATCCACCTTCGGTTGAAACAGTTGAAAATTCTATGCCGTTCACTGTTGACCTGAGCGTCAATAATGGTCGGCTAAGATCATCATCTATCTCATTAATTAGATCTGTCTGGTCGGCTAGTTTCTAAAATTTTGTTCGCGATGCCACTCATTTTTTCGAGAACTCTCGATCCTTTATATAGCTACTTAATCAATAAATTGTCATCTTTTAGAAACATGTTAATGACCTATTTGTATTTCTTCTTTAGAAGCAGAAGCAATAGTTATTTAAACCAAAAAAGGAAATATGTCCAGCCTCTTCTTTTGCCTAAGGAGACTTCAGACCTGATAAGTCATCATCTTAATTATAGGGTGACCTCATTTGACTAATGGACATATAGCCTTACCCTATGTAATTTCATAACCTACATTCATCTTATTCAAATATTGTTATTATAATTCACATGTTTCGTATCATTATTACTATTCTTGTAAACGTCAAGAATCTAATTAACTATCAACCTATTTCAATATCTCGTACTGAATTCATATCAATTTATGCATTACCCGGTCGTTAACCAACCATTTGGTTTGATTAATAATTACATTATTCCCTTATTTTGTTTTATCTAAATTTATTCTTCATTATCTCATGATTTCATTTAACATATAATGTAATTCAAGTGAACATTGAATACTAATAATTTCAATATTAAATCTGATTTTATTTTTACAAACGTACATTTATATAATCTAATCGTAAACGATGGGTTATCTCACATTTGGTTTAGGAATTTGACTTTGTAGCGATAGAACCTGACGAGAATTTATTGAAAAGAATATTCTTTGTTTATATGACCCATGTTTTATTAATATGATGAAAATTTGTAAACAATTAATTATGTGCAAATATGATAGGTGGCTAACAGTGGAATCCAAGACACGCGTTTCGTCCTATTTGGGACTCGTTAGCTGGATGTATCTGCATCCCAGAGTTGATGTTCATTCCGGGACCCGGACTCAGCACTGTTCGCTTCAAACGCTATAGCTTTATCCACTTGGCTACTAAGTCCTGATAACCACTTGCTTGTGAAATGGGGTGAAGTTTTAAATTCATTGTATTGTTTGTTTGAATCTTCCCATTGACGTTTAGGACCTCGATTGATCAGGTACATCCAGCATACGAGTCCCAAATAGGACGAAACGCGCGTCCTAAATTCCACTGCTAGCCACCAACCATCTTTGTTTATAATGCTTTTGAACGAAGGCAATATCCAGGCAATCAGTACAGGATGCACATATGCCAATAAGAGACTGATCAATTGCAGTTCTAAACATCAATGAGAAGATTCAAACAAACAATACAAAATAAATTTAATTATTATGCGTAAACCAGAAATATGAACGATCTACTGAAACAATATAAACCAAGGTGATGAAAGTGTTAACCATGAAAAAAAAAACAATTTATACTGTTTAACAATGTATATTCAATTTTAAAAAATTCATATGAATTATATCTTATGTTGTACATACATTCAGTTATGAATATGTTAACCCTAAAACAGAGTTATTTATGAACCAATAATAATAGTAATAATAATAATAATAATAATAATAATAATAATAATAATAATAATAATAATAATAATAAGCGCTCATCTATCGACTAAGTAGAATGTAGTTGATGATGTCGACAATTAAATGACATATTAATACTATACATAATATACAATACAAGTTCCTAAATAAAACTATTGTCGTTTAGATGGGGAAATTAAATTGTTTAAGGAATACGATTTTGTAACCAATGAATTATTACCAGACTACTGCTTCTGTTACTAACTAATAATACTACTAGAACGATTTTTGAAGATATTTCAATTCGAGATTTTGTTTTTTGTGTCATGTTTTTCATTTTGTAAACTGAACTATATAATATATTGTTCAAAGATGGTTATCAATGGATGAATTAAAACATAGATGAACATTTCTTCTTCCAAAAAAACGGAAAGAAAACACCAAAAGAATAAATTGAATCCTTCTAATTAGATTCATCCCATGGATTTAAAATAAATGTTTCATGAAATTTATTCAAAATATTCCCCAAGTTATTAGCACGATTTCTGTAAATTAAAAATTGAAGAAAATTAATTGACAAATAGTTAACAGTTGAATAAGCTTTATTATTTTCTAAACGAAAGTATAACCAACAAAGAATACATGTAAATAAAAGAGAGGTTTACCTTGAAAAAAAATATAAATATTTCCAATGTGAGATTTAAGAGAAATGTGAACAGTTTAAGTAAGTGACTCTCCCTATTAAAAAATGGCCACATACGAAATATCGTTGTTTTTTAAAATGACAGTTTAATGATGATAACATGAAGATGTACGTACACATAGATGCTTTAATTGTCTATTACGCTTCAGTAAACTAGTTCGATGTTCACCTTATTTAATTGTTGTTATTTATTTTTTCTATGGAATGTGAATAATCACTAATGTTGTGCTGTAAAATCATTTCAATCAGAATTGTACATCATCTATAACTTTGATCATTTTCTTCGAAATTCTCATTTTGAAGTTACATGGAAATCACATTCTTTCAGACGCCGTAACCTTAAATTTATTATTATTGTTATTATAACCAAGTAATTTGCATCAAATTGATCAACGCGGTAAACTGACATACATTCTAAATAAAAATAATATATTTGTAATATCCCAATGAGTAGAAAATTGGACATACATTCTGTACTTATTTTCATAAAATATTGTTATTGTTATTATAAATACATCCCTTATTTGATATATTCCATATATCCCTTATACTTAAAACTACAATTATGAACGAACTCAAAAGAAGTGACAAGTAATTTAGGCTAATTGTAGGGAGGATTTCTTTTGGAAACAGATAATGTTTTGCACTATTAGCACAGCAGATAGAATAATAAATAAGGACATAAAACAAAGAGTTCCATGTTCACACTAACATATCTATAGTGTAAGATCCATATATTCAACAGCTTAAAATATAATGTAATTAAATTACTCACTTAAGTTTCCTTGCTTCTGTAGTAATGAAATCCAGACGGTTAATATCACTATCCAATTGTTTCACTTCTTCAACTAAAGTATCACTGAAATTCTCCACTTCCGTGGACAACTTCTTATGAGCTAGATGTAACTCTCTTTTAGCCTAAGAAAATAAATAAAACATGTTAAACACAAATTTAAAAGCGGATTAATACTAAAAACCTCTTTTGGGATTTAACTATACATTTGTATCAAGGCTATTAATTATATCTGACTACTTAAACCAAATTAGATAGAACAGAGTTCAAATTTACAGTTAAATAATTGAAAACTGACTGAGTAATTTAATTATTTAACTAACCACAAAAGAATAATACTCTAAACCCCAATAATAATAACATAGTGATAACAAATTCTTTTAAGTAATTCCAAGAATAAAAGTGTATAGTGATATATGTATTAGGATGAATAAATGGGAATATTGATAAAGCAACTGGAAAAAAAGCTGAGCAATATGTTGTTCAGTTTTAAGTACACAGATCAGCAAGTGGAAGGATTTCTTAAAATTTAGATTTTCAAAAATTAAAACTACTCCAAATCTGCCGACAACTATTAAAGTTTTATACATTTATATCAAGTATATCAAAACAAAGTAGATGTTATCGCTATTATCAAATTATTTTTTACACTTAAAATTATTCAGTGAACAAACCAAAGAATTCTTTTAAAAATTTATCACAAAACTCACTTGATGCCGAGCATTTGTACTAGTTAAATCAACAATTAAACGTAATTTATGGGAAGCGAAATCGACATATTGACGTTTGAAAGCAGTCTCTTTAGCTTTATTTGTCCAAGAAAGTCGTTCGTATAGATATAAACCACCGTATATTCCACAAGCCACTGCTAGAACTCGCCAACCAACAGCTTTAGACATCTAGTATGGTTGGGTTTTTTACCAACAAAAAAAAGTAATGCTTGATTCAAAAACGTTTTTTGAAGAAATGAATGAACAGAAACCTACCATTACACTAAGAACTTTAGAAAGCAAAGTACTTAGGACAATATAAAAAAAGTATTGCAATCTAATAAAATCGATTTTCACAAAACTTATAAAAGTCACTCCACTTTCAAACAGAATTACGAACATTTACAAGAATAACCATTTAAATTTGAACAAGTAGTTCCACAGTAGTTTTGAGTCGAGTTAGTATCTAACAATGAGAATATTAGACTTATAAAAATCTCAACGTTTCGCTTGGCAATCTAGTTCAAGCTTTTGCAAAGAAAATCATTAAAATGATTGGATACAAATATATGGTTTACAAATGGACTATGTACTAAACAAATCATCCAATCATGTTATCAAAGTTGAAAATGAAAGACATTTGGAGTGAAAAAGTGGAGAAACTGTGGCAAGATAACAGGCGTATGTACGTAGATCTGATGCTGGAAAAACTGATCGACTATACATGACCTCACATTATGGTCGTTGATGAAATTAGACAATCTAATAGATGCTGTAAATCAAAGTTGTCATACCGCGCAAAGAAGGAGAATAAATGAACAAATAAATGTTTGTATTGCTGTGCTAAGCAAGCCGCGTTTTCATACCCTATCCAGATACATTTACTATTTGGAACAAAAGAAAATACACCTTTGTTGCCACAGAACGAGACGAATTCGAAGTATTAAAATGAAATTCTCAATTTATAATTTCTAAATAATCTTATAAAAGAGTAATTTAATAAAATACAGGTTGATAAGCTCCTTACCGGCAACTCCAATAGCAATTATGAATATGTAAATATCAAAAGATGTTTATCACAAGCCATAAAAAAATAAAGTCTTTCTGATTGACGTTCGCAATGACAAACAAGTAATTTTAAAAGGTGAGCACGAGAGATTTAGATCTTAAATAAAATCTCTACCATCTTGAACAATTTGCTCAAAATTTATCAAGGAAGAAGCCATGGTGAAAATAGTGGATGGACGATTTATTCATATATCATACCACTTATATGTAAATAATGACAGCCAGAAAAAGAAATATGAAACAAGTATTGAAATCTATTGGGACTATGTATTAAATTTGAAAATATATACAACTAGAGAACATTGAGTGAGTTATTAAAACTTATTATTCTTTTTATTCATAAAACACCGTAGATACAACACAATGTCAAATGCATTAAAACTTACAATTCCAAAAGCAATAACAGTACCGACAGCACCTCGACTCATAAGAGAAGGGAATAAATCAACAGTCAATGAAGATCTGGGTAATATGGAAGAGTTAACCAAACTAGAAGGAATTCCATCAGATTGTGTCCAATGATACTGAAAGTAAAATGAATAAGAAACATCGACTACCTGATTATACATTAAACAACCAAACACGTTTACATATAATTGCTATTTTGCTAATACGAGATCATTTAAAACGTAAACATATTGAATTGAGATAAAATATTTAAACATGATCGTAAAACATGGAAAATTCGAAATATTTATCATTCAATAACGTAATCCTTTGATTAATTAGGCGAAATACTAATTACTTTTAGTATTATCTAGATTTATAACCACGCCTATAGACTGACACAGTACTGTAGTGAATGAGGACTCACGTGAGGAAAACCAATATATTGTTTTATGCAAAATTATACAATGCTTTCGTAAAATCTAAAAAATCATACATTAAATACACTATTTGCACATCTTCCCTCAGTTGTCCTGTACATACGTCTTCATTCTTTCAATCCGGTTGTTATTACAATTGCTCTCTGTTTAACTTCCTGTTCTCTTTAATTCAATCCTCTGGCAGACATCTCACTTCCTATTGGTGCTACATACTACTTATATTTGTCAGTATAAGTAGTATACACTACAGTACAATTCATGACACCGAGTTACATTCTGTGATACAAGCTTTTTTAATTTCAAAATCACTTGTCAATAAGTACATCAATCCTTTAAAATATGACCAAAAGGTTGATATTAATCAGATCAACATGGGCACTTTATCAATAATAGGTAACAATATGCTAGATAGGAGACTTAAAAGACGGATATTCGGTAAATGGCGACCAAGTGATATCATTGGATTGTTGTCTGTTTTTAGTGTGGAAATAAACTTACGTTCTAGTTTAAACAGTCACGTGTTCCTAATCTGAGTTGTGCTGTAGTCCTGTAGAATAGACACTGGGAGGATATCTAGTGTAGATATTCGTCTAAGACAAATTAGCGTCCAATTTGTGTAGACGAGGAAAACTGAGTGTTATAACAAATTCTAAAAAAAAGAATCCTCAGATTCTTTTTCTTTTACCATTATCGAATTAAATCCCTATTAAAATTTTAGGACATTATTCAATGACGTGTTTCTGTTAGAAGACTTTCGAAAAAATAATGATGAATTAATAAAGATAAATCAAACTATCAAAATTATGCATATAAAACAATTCTGAATTCGTATATTCTTCAAAAGAAATGTCTATAAACCGTTTACTTAGTTAACTGATACCTTGTCTTTCAAAAAAGTTGAACAGCAAAAAAGAACAGTGTACAAATGCAACCATTTATTAAAATAAACTGGAAGTGATAGTAAGTGAAAGTTTTAATCCAGAAAGAAGTCTTCGACTTATTAGCACCCTTAAAAACAATCTAATTAATTTGTTAGTGTTGAAGAGTACCGCGTCTCAACAAACAAGAACACTTCCTAAATTACACATTTTGTTTAAGGGCCAATGATTTTGTTTAGCTGTTTGAAATCAAATAGTTGACATGATAATGGAAGATGTGGTTAAAAGTTAAATGCTTTAACTAGCAAGTCACCACGCTTTACATTACATATAACGACTAAAAAATTCCATTTTTTTCAATTAACGAAATAGCTATACACTGACAGAAAACTTACACTATTTGTCGAACGACGTGGGGCTGATAACCGTTGGAACAGCGTTCCCAAACTAAGAGAAAAACGAAACTGAATATCTTCGTGAAAATTCGCACACAAATTACGACAATCAAGATGGAATTCCGGAGTAAAAGCAGTAGGATCAACTAGCTGAAGTATACGATTTTTACAAGCTTCGTCTGAAACGATTGCCGCATGTTTATCTGAAACGAAAAAAAGAGTAAAAGCCAATTCAGAAAACTATACATCATGCACAATATAGAAATTTTGTCAAATGTGGTAAAAACCTGGTACTTCACATTACTATTTATTTTAATGATAGAATTTTAAATCTTCCGGACAAACGAGTATTACCTTACATCTTCAACTCTGATAATGACTATGTTGGATCAACTTTACCACTTTCATATACGAATAAATTACGTAAATATTTAGAAAGCAATTATTTTATCATATTGGACTTTAATAATAAAGAGCAGTAAACAAACAGCTATATGAGAGCTTAACAGATCAAGTGCTTAACAATTTTTAGTCTAAATTTAGAGGCATTTACAATTAGAAAATTTATTGAGTTATTTAGCTATTATAATTCACAATCAGAACTCTAATGTGTACACAAGAAGGTTACTTTTCAAAAGTAACAATTAATTTCATCACACTTACAAATACGCATATGAAAATGAAAAGACTTAATTTTTGCTTAATAATTCTTAAGTCGATTAGCAGTACTCAAAAACGGTACTGCAAAAAAATGTGGACACTATGAATTACTATTATGGTGTGAAGCCCCCGACTATTAACACATGAGTGAGTGTAGTTGGAAGTTTAAAAAAACTTGTTACACTTAATTAACATTCAAATTTGTAAAAAAAACTTACTCATCATTAACTGTTCACATCGAGCAACTTCATTAAGAATATCACTAGAACAAGCTTCAGTAAGTTTTCTGCCTAATTCACGTTCAACATGTGTATTTAGTTCTCGCTTGTATACGTGAATCAAAGCTGGATCTGGATGGAAAGGACGCGAATAACTATCGACAAGTTCACTCAAACGTCGAATTTCAGCATTTAATGCACTAGCGACTTGGGCTTCAACACGTGCCAAACTAGCATGAAGCATTTCATCTACAGCTTGAGTTGTCTTCATCAACCGGGCACGTACCTCTTCAAGATGTGCTTGAGAAAGACGACGACAACGAACGGCAGCATCTCTAATACAGAACAAAAAGTGAATAAAATTAAAATTCATAACAACAAACATATGATAACCAATATGGTTATAAATAAAAAATAACTTTCTCAATATAAGTATACTCATAAGACTAGTTAACTCGTTAAAATAAACAGCTTTCTGAAAGTCAGAACACGTAAAATATTCTAAATAAAATAACTTAAGATGATCTAAAGGTATGATTGAATGCAAAGTAATACTGCCAAGAAGTCTAAATTATCACGTTCAGGTGAAAACAACGTAATACTCGACTCGAATGTGTTTCGATTCAAGTCATCACATGTTAAACTGTTATAGCGAAAAGAAAATAATAACAGAAAATGTGAATAAACGAAAATAGTGTCAACAGCAGTGAAAAACTAAACCATCAAAAACTGATAGGGTTGATAGACGTAGCCTAAGTAAAACTCAATAATATGAGGATCAAAATAGAGAAAATGTTGTATAAACGATGCTAAATTTAATATTAGATAAAGTAAATAAAAAGAATGAAATAGATCAGAATTCAATAAATTTTTAGTCTATAATCAATGTTAATAATCCTTTTCACAATGAGGATAAATGTAGAAAAAAGTCCAAAATAAAGAAATACGCAAGTATAAACACTAACAACATAAAGTATCGAACAAAAATCACAATTAAAATAAAATCAAAATGTTAACAATAAAATAATACTGACTTTTCTTCAACTGTTGTCTCATAGATATTTTCCATGATTGTACGAACTCTATTCACTACATCCTTGCCTTGTTCAGAATGAGCTGCAAATTTTGTACGAGTAGCAGACTCTGAAAGATTTTTCTATATAAAAGAAAAAATAAATTCACAAGAAGTAATACTGGAGTTCAATAAGTCATAAATTACAAGTCATTATATGTGAAAATTATATTTAAAATAATCTTAAGTATTACTATAATTATATTTGAATGCATTTGAACGCAACACACATAAATATACTAATCTGTCTCTAACATGATCAATTCAAAACATTAATACCTTGATTATTAGTATTCTTTTATAATGCGATAGTTTACATTGTCAACTGATTAATTACATTGAAAGGTTGGTGATGACTTCACCTGGAACTTGTCAAATACCATTATTCGACTTCGATTTGTATAATTCAAGTGAAATTTAAGTAAAAGTGCACCAAGATGACTATCGAGGGAAAGAATGTCCTGAGATTACTCATGAGTGTTACAAAAGTAAATTGAATCTATTACCCTATATTTAAAATTGATTTTTCTTCTTTTTGAACGATAGAGGTATAAGTACTATAGATAAAATTCACCAATGCATGATTTTCAAGACAGTTATTCACTACAAATGGATCTCCCCATACAGATAGGAACATAAAAATATATCAAATAAATTTAAATGTAACTAGTTAACTCAGTACAATCTTATATCGACAATAAAGGGTAGTAGAAAGTTCATTTAAATACATTTAGACCAACTGAAATAAGGTAGCTTATGTGACGACTACAGGTTAATGCACTCGATTGACACCAGTCAGTTTTCTCAAAGGAATTAGATTAAGCGATGTTAGAATCTGAAACAGTCTTTCGAAGTCGAATGTTATGACCATTAAGACAGTGTTCCAAGTACTGTAAGCTCTTTAAAGAATTTTTAAAAACTAGGAATCTAACAGTATGTAAAAAAACTAAGCTATAAGCTGTACTTGGTGTATAGTAATTACTTAGCTGTTAAATCTAAATAAGTACAGTGTAGTTGAGAATCCCAGTACTATAGTTGAAAATTCAGTGTCTGAAATCCACTGAATCACAACAGTATCATGATTATAAGGCCCAATATACAACGAGTGATTAGTGCATTTAATGAAATCATATTGATCATCAGTAATGGAGGACAAAACAGAAAATCACATACAACAAAACATAAAACAGAAAAACTGTCACAAATAAATTACTTCAATGCATAAATAGGGAATAGAAATAAAATTTAACCACCACTAACCTCGAAAACAGTTTCGAAATTTGTAAACTCCACGAGTCTATCTTGCCAACCCTCAGCCATATAGGCCACTAAAAAATCCCAATGTAATGTCACAAAATTATTAGAGAAACTAATAACGATATGGTAGTTTTAAATAAACAACCAAATTTATTTGCTGTAAATTCCAAATATAGAGATCATCCATTTAGATTAGAGAAACTATAACTGATAGAACGATACAAACAACTAGTCTAATTTTTCTTAACTTTGATGAAGTATTAATCAGGTGTTTTATCCGATTATGGACAGTTAATGATCCCGATAGGACGTAAAGAGAAACGTACTGAAGTTATATTTTGATGTCAAATTTTATTAGAATCAGAAATCCATAAGAGCTGGCTAACGTCTTATTTGTTCTAAAGTAATAAGTAGTGATTTTAATTATACACAGAACCACCATGACAGGCTCATAATTCACAAAGGGATTTCCACTCATCCGTATATATATTGAGATTACGGGATGAACAAGCGATGTGAGGGACCATGAAGACCAGTCAAATAATTACGGAACTGAGGAGATACAAATTGGAAGTGCTTGAAATGAGTGAAAACTATTGGAACCAAGATAGATAGGGTAGAGTAGATTCGGCAGCGATACTGTTGTACTTTGATCATGAAAAATAGGATGCTTCACCCACACAGGGAGTTGCACTGATGATAAGAACTGGGAGAAAGGAACGAGAATGGCGAGAGATTTTCAGATTTATGTGCCTTCAATAAAATGACTATAAATGACCCCATATTCCCCCCCCCCAAGCACATACACAAATCTTCATGTGTCTCACTGGATCACAATACAGAGAACCAGATCAAAAATATTTGAACCACTACAAAATTCAGAAGATCCATGTAAGACGTGAGATCCAAGAGAGAAATCGACAAGTGGAAATGCGTGGAAGACCTAGCAATGGTAGAGGAATAGGCTGAAGGAGAAGGAAATCTGAGACAAATATACAATACAACGAAGAAACTGGTAGGGAAATATGGTAAACCAGAGAGGCCGGCCAAGGACAAAGAAGGCAAACAAATCACCGAGATCCAAGGACAGTGGAACAAGTGGGCAGACCACTTGGAAGAACTCGTGAGTAGACCGGTCCCAATGAACCTATCGGACATCGAAGCAGCATACACTAACCTCTCTGTAGATATTACTCCATCAACAAGCGAAGAAATCACGATAGCCATCAGACAAATAAACAAACGAAGTGTTGAAGTTAAACACAAGGTTGACTGCAAAGATGCTCCACATTCTCTCCAGAAAGAACTGCGAAGAACAAGCACCACAAACAGACTGGAAAGAAGCACACCTCATCAAAACACCAGAGAAAGGAGATCTCAACAAATGTGGGAACTACACAGGCATCACATTACTATCGGTACTAGCAAACGTTTTCAACAGACTGATGCTTAACCAGATGAAATATTCAATGGACGCCAAACATCCAAATCAACAGACCGGATCTCATGAGGATCAGTCATGCACAGACCACATCGCGACACTACGGATCATCGTTGAACTCATGAAACAATGAGTCCTCAAGAGAAGGAGGTCTTTGTTCAGTTTCTGGATTTATTAGTCATTTATTAATACTTTCCGAAATGTTTGAACACAATCACATGCATTACAAGCCAGCTATTTATAATTTTCGTGATATAGTAGTTTTCAAACTGTCGGATAGGATGGTGCTCTGGCTGTACAGAAAAAAAAGTGTCTGACAAGTTTATTAACATCAATTCCAGAAGAGTAATATTTTTAGCACTAATGTTCCCCAAAGCCAAATAGATAAATATAAGCTTGATAAGAAAGCACTAATGATAGTAGCCCACCTGCTGACAAAGGAGACCCAATACTTGTAGCCGCTCCAGGGGGACCTGAATGTGGATCGCCACCTAAATTCGCTTTTGTTCTCATCGCTAGAACTTCACGGGCTGAAACGAAGAAAACATGTCCCTCTGCCTCTGTACGTGTGCACACTTTTAATTCATCAACAAGAAACGCTACACAACGTTGCAGGTGTTGCTCACGTACCTAAAAAGATAAATAATTTAAGTAAAAATTATGATAATTTAGAAAGTAATATTCTTGGAAATTATAGTTAGTGTAGGAAAATCGAAATAATGTAAGTGGAATTTACATATGTATATTTTTATTATACTGAGAAAGTGATAGAGTAAAAAGATGGTTCAAACCATATAGATACCCTTACCTAAGTTGGGAATTTAGCTACTGATTTATAGTCTATGGTTCCAATCACGCTAAGAATACAGCCTCTATCCTTTGATGAAGTTGAAAGATGGTCGCATTATATCGCGAATAGACGAAAGTTGAAAATCTAAAGTATTAAACGTCAGACTCAGTGACTAGATGGTATGCGCATCACCAGACCTGGAGGTCATGTTCCAACGCGTATGTAATTCTTAAGAGTCTCGAACAAGGAGAAAACATCTCCACGAATCATGGTTTTCACTGAGCTACTGATTGATGTTGATCCATTACAAAATTTGATTGGTAAAGTGGTGTTTATAAACTCCAATCACGTTACCGTAGGTCTTATAAAAGGAAAATAGTCATTATTATTTGTCTTTCTACCATAGCTCTCTTCTCCCTGAAAAAAAACTTTAGAAAAGTGGGCCTTAATGATCTAGTTATGACTAAGCTTAATTGAACACTTTTTAGTGGACTCTCAATAAGTATTCGGAAGTTTAGAATATAACTAAAACAAGAAAAATGTGCACATACCTCATTAATATATTCAATTTCGTTTGCTGAAGCATCCCAACGATTATTAATGATAAAAATATTTGGTTTGGATAACTTCTGACTGACTTTATGAAAGAAATCTTTCTCCTGAAAAATTTATTACACAAGAAGAACTTTTATTTGAAGGAAAAAACGAATTCCGGTCACTCTTATTTAAAATATTTGGAACAAATAGTGGAGATTAAAGCTTTTCCACAAAAAATTCAAATAAAATACGATTCATTTAGCAAGGTGCAAGTTCATATACTCCACCTTTAGATACACTTTCGGTGTAAGAGTTAATGACACTAACCAAATGATCGAATTAAATTGGTTAGAACGGAGTTCAGATTTACAAACTAACAGCTGAAAAGTTTAATGTTTTAACTATTAGATTACTATAATCTTTGGCTTTAAATAATTTATTACAATGATTAGCAATACAAAACAAACTGAATTCATACTGTGTCCTTTAAAAATAACTCAAAGAAGTAACATTCACAGTGCGTTTTTAATTATCGATAGTGAATTTAATACTAATCTTTATAATAGTCAATTTACAATTAAATAACCTTCAAATACATATATATCACTATGACCACATCATTTTTGTACATTAAAAGATATTGATCTTGGTAAAATTACCCCTTTCTTTACATTCTATATCTCTACAACCTCATTGTTATTGTGTGGTGCATAAGTATTTGGTGCCCCTTTTGTACCAATGTGTTCAAATAAATAAGTAAATTACCAATCAAAATAAAATATGTGAATTACTTACAGCTTGCATTAATGTTGACTCAGCATTAGCAACAAGAATGAAAACATCCGCATCCAAACAGTGAAGATCAATCCATCTATCCATATCTGGATCAACATTAATCCCTGGACTATCTAGTAGAACAACATCTTCACGTAACAGCCTACAATATGAACTTGGCCAGAATATTTTTAGTAGTGTATCTGTGGAAAGTTTGACACTGCTTAATGCATGGGCTAACTGACCAACGGAATCAATAGGACGAGCCTGAGTAAAGAAAAATTAACTTGATTAACAGATTGTGCCAGTACAACTGGGACTATTTTAATTATTGGGTCGACTTAGCAATAGATTTAAGTAGTAAGATATGAATCAGATATTTCGAAAAGTTATACGTTCCATGAAAGTAAATGAATACAAATCTTTCTTTAGGATTATCGTGCTATGCTCCTATTTTTCCAGAATGGTAGAATATAAATGATGAATGCATCTGCGCTACTGTACATGGTTCTTCAATGTCAATTAACGTCTTTGATCACTGATTAGAGTTGCAGCGAATAACTCAATATGTAGCTTGTACCTGTCAATAGCAGTCAATGATTGTATGGACTAATAACGCCTTGATATGTTCCACCCTAAATTCCTTCCAACCTATTCCTATCTCACTGAAGCAGGTGAAATAAAGTAAACCTCAAGTAGAAAACTACAAGTTGTAAGGTGAATGGCAGAATATAGAATTTTAGTACACCCACAAAACTAAAACAAGTTTTAAGACAAAAAATATTTATATTTCAGACTATCCACTAAAATGTAATCGACTTCCCATTAAAACAACAAAATAAAAGTCATCATTCAAAAGTGCTAATTAGATTAAAGAGGAAGAATGTATTTGTAAAATCTCGGTGAATGAATTTGGAGTAAAGCCAACGTTTCACCTGGCAATCTGGTCCAAGCTTTTTCAAGGAAATATAATCAAGCGTCGAAATTATCGAATATAAATAGGTACATGGTTCTTTGGTTCACTGTATACTGAATATGTCATCCAACCAATGTTAACAATGTTTAAAGTAGGTATTTGCATTAGTATGTAAGAGACATGTGATGTGAAACGAAGTGTTAAGATAACAGATTGTGTGTATACGTAAGTGGTGTGAGAAGAAATCTCATTTACTATATATTGTCTCTGGTCAGTGAGCTTTAAGAAAACATATAATTTTTATAAATGATATGAATCAAAAATGTCACAGCATGCATGAAATGAAGATAAATAAACAAGATAAAGGAATGAATCCAAAGAGGAAGAATGTAATTGTAACTGAATGTTTGTGTTATTTTAATGTTCCAGTTAATCGTTTAACATATTCAGATAAGACAACTGATTAGAACCGTTAAATGCAATTGCTGTTATTCAGATAATACACACTAATGTAAATACCTACTTTAAACATTGTTAACATTGATTGGATGACATATTCAGTATACAGTGAACCAAAGAACCATGTACCTATTTATATTCGATAATTTCGATGCCTGATTATATTTCTTTGAAAAAGTTTGGACCAGATTGCCAGGCGAGACGTTAATGTCTCACATCAACTCAAATACTGTGTAACTACTCGAAAGTTCTTAAATGCGAATTAAATATTTGATCAAACCTGGTGAGAAATATCTGACGTTTCTTTAGGGTTGGTATCAGAATCAGCCATTAGAAGATATCCTGAGTCCTGATCCGTTCCCTGGATTTCAAGGAAACAACTGGTGGTGTGACCCAAACCAGAAGGTAACAATTTTGAACCCAACATCGCGTTGATAACAGTACTCTTTCCATTTGATGTTCTATACGTAGAAAGATAAAAATTACAATACACCTGAATAACATCAAAACTGAGTACTAGAGGAAATAAAAAACATGTTTACCGATTTCTAAAACGCCTTCATTTTGGTAATTTTTCCAAGTGAACTCCAGTAGAGCCATTATCCTGATAAAGAGAAACTATCGGCCTAGTGACCATAAAGATTATTTATCTACTACTAACTAATGATACCCTTGTAAGTGATTAGTTCCATTTAAGAAAGGGCAATATTATTACTAGTGTATGGTCATCAATCATACTGTGACCCACTCTGCGACACGAATAAGGACATTGTTGGGCTTGAACATAATCAGAGATGGGCGTCTAAGTCAGTCAGTCACAATGTAAAACCTAGTACGTATGTACATAGATCTAAGTTGCCATACCCCATTAGCACAGAGAGATGAAATTGTCAGGCCGAATTCCAGAATAGTAGAGGTACTAACAATAGGTATGGTGATAAAAAAGATTATGCATCAAAGATACAATTTAAGAAAATATACATAAGTGATACAAAAACACAAAGAAAGTAATTAGGAATTCCGAAGCTCAGAAATTTGAGGAAGACAAAGAGTGAATGAATCTGCGCCACTACAAACGATTCTAAGGTATATCAAAGTGTCTAGCCAGTGGTTACGATAATCATGCGAACACTAGCGAGCCCCCAAATGCCCTGATATGGACGAGAGTGGGGTGGGCTCGCCCTCCCTCTCGAAATACTCTCACACGGCCGCGCGTATACAGCCTTTGCCAGGGAAGTCTTACTTACTGCCTCCTCGTGGCGGGGGTGTTGTTTACGAAGATGAGAGGACGAAAAGCGAATGTCCGCCGCTTTAACCGGATTCCAAACCAATGGTGCACATGGGCTCCAGTATCCTATGGGAACAAATGGCGTATGAGCCAATTTCTCGGTCACCGGCTACCATGGGACTGCATCTCCTCACGATGCTCCATTGCCTTGTGGGTTAGACCTTTAGGTCGAAGGCTCAGGGTGTGGCCCCCTAAGAAAACCACCTACTTCGGTCTGGGCACCCGGACAGTATCACAGCCCTCACACGTATCAAATGAGATTTGTGTGGCGCCCGTGTATTTGGTGCCTCCTTGTACCAATATCTATGTGTTAAAATAAATAAACAAAGAGATAATCAGCTTGGCTGCATGATACGCTCTGGTCAGTGTTTTTAATACTGTTTATTGTCACTGTAACGTCGTCACCTTCGAATTCAAGTTGTATAAACAAAGGTTTTTTGTCTATTATGATTTCTTTGCGTGTTTCGTCTCCGCTTTTCCCAGGTTCCTCAATAAATCTATGTGGACACCGTTGATCTCTCGGCACGTTTTAACATTTAGTAGTTCTGCACCTTGTGTACCATCAATAAATATCCTTGCCACTCAGTGAAAAAAACCATTTTGATAGGTGAATTTTTTTAATTAATTGGACACTTAAAATTCAGATGAACTCTACTGCGATAAACTGAACGTTGAGTTGTGCCACTCTTTCTCTGTTGTAACAAGAACGTGGAACTTATCATACATTTCATGTTCCATGGTAAACTGGATATTTTTATGAGCGATGTTGGAAAGGTTAAGCAGGTATTTTGCTTGTTGCTGATCACTACATAAAAGAAGCATTGTCGACATACTTAGCATGAAAAGAACAGATTCCTAAAGCAATATGAACATGATAGTCAATCTAACCATTCGGACCAGAGCATAAAACGAAAAAAACAAAGGGACAACTTAGGAAAGCGAATACAAGAAAGAAACACTATCGGAGTACCACCTAAATCAGTTACCAGAGGACTTTTTAGTCAAGAATCTCTTTAATAAAGCGTGTTCAATCGATAAATAAAATTGCTACCACTGACTACACTCCTAGTCATAAGTCCACTTAAACGAAATTCAGCTTAAAGGGTTCCGTATGTGCCAGAATAAATTTTAAAACAATAAGCCTATTTAAACCCAGCCTTCATCACTGTATACTTCAACAAGCACGACATACCAACTTATAAGTAGAAGCCTTGATCCTTGCAAAATTTAGCGACATGTGACACGACAAGATGAGTAGCAAAAGAAATTAAGATAATCTAATAATTGATCGCAAAACTAAATATTAATATCGTTCAAAAAGGGGTAATGGAAAAGTAAGCATGAACAAATTCTGGAAGTTAAGAGACAGGGGATGATAAATGAAATGCATTTGTGTCATTGCGAACGATTCTGAGCCATGTCAACTAGTCTCTAATCGCTGATCAAGGTTATCATGCATCCAAATGTACGTTTTGGTTAAACAAAGCCTCCTTTGACTACATTTTCAGTGCTATTCTTACAATTTTCACCTAACAATATTTGATGTTTTTTTTGTTTTTTGAACTTTGATTATTTTTAATCCACTTTCTTTCAATTACTCAATTTTAGTTTATAACCGATATGTCATTATGTAAATATTTAATGTGTAAGGAATTTTTGGTGCGTATCGCCACTGTTTTGAGATTTAACTTACACGAGTGATAGATAAACCATTGGGCTTTACAAACTAGAGTATGAGGCATGACTGTAAATTAATAAATGGGACTTCGTTGCTTAAAAGTGTAATAATCCGTACCGGCTTTATTCAAAGCACAATCTGGGATGACATTCATTTGTTTTAAAAAATTTCATTACTAATTCTAGACATCTGAGCGTTTGGTAAAGGTGGTAAGCGTATGTCGACTTATTAAAATCGATGAAATTTCATCGGACGGAAGAGTTTTTGCAAAACTTATGTCACTTTACAGAGTCTCTGAGACCTGTCAGTGTGACATCTTCAGTCTTCAGTAATAAGGATAGGAGGTCTATCGACCTATATTAATTCTTGCAGTTTGTAATACTGTGGAGGTCTAACCTCGTTTCGAATATATTAACAGACGGTGCTGATATTACGTGTTCCGGTAGAGAATTCCAGTAATTCACTACTCGGTGCGAGAAACGGAACTCCCAACGTAAACGGTTTGATCTCGGTTTTTGAACCTTCTTCGAATGTCCTCTCAAATGATCAGTTCTAGACGGAAGCAAAAGATAAGATATGTTAATACCAAGGACATCGTTCAGTATACAATAGGCCAATATTAGATCACCCCGTATTCTACGGTAAGATAACGGAAATAAGTTAAGGTGTCTCAGTCTGTTTTCATAAGATAGGCCAGATGGACCTTGTACCATCTTAGTAGCTCGTCGTTGGACTCTTTCTAGCATATCTGCTCCATACTTGAAACAAGGACACGCTGCTCGAATCCCGTATTCTAAATGTGGTCGCACATAAATCGGGTATAGTAATCTAAACATTTCATCATCTAAATACTAGAAAGACCTACGAATTGACCATAATACCCTATAGCCTTTTGCAGCAGGAGCCTTACAGTGACTAGTGGTTTTGAGATGATTGCTTAATATAACTCCTAAATCTTTATAGTTTCTTGCTTTGGGTAGCACGAATCCACGTAGTGTATAGTCATACGATTCATCAGAGTTATTTAACTGCATCACTGCACTCTTATTAGGATTTACTTCTAGTGACCACCTGTCTAACCATGCCACCAATGAGCTAAGATCGTCCTGTAATACTATTCCATCCGACATACTATGTATGGGTCTCCAAATCTTTATGTCATCAGCAAAGAGTAGAACGGATGATTTTGCTACAGTTAGCAATTCATTTACATAAAGTAGAAAGAGAAGAGGACTTAGGATTGTACCTTGGGGAACCCCACTTTTTACAGGTACCCACGAGGAGAGAGCCCCATTAACTCTTACCCTTTGTCTCCTGTCATGGAGAAAGCTACTTATCCAATCGACGACTGTATAATGGATTCCAAAACGTTCTAGTTTGAATTTAAGACCAGAGTGGGAAACCTTATCGAAGGCTTTACTTAGATCTATGAAAATTACATCCACAGGAGCATTCCGATCCTTCGCCGCAGCCCACTCTTCTCGTGCAATGAGAAGATTTGTCAAGCAAGATAGCCCTTTCCGAAAACCATGTTGTGCCCTGGAGAAAAGATTTTGCACTTCAACATAGTTTATAACGGCTATCCGAATGATTTTCTTCATCAGTTTTACAACTGCGCTAGTTAAGCTAACGGGTCTATAGTTACTAACTAAATCCCTACTCCCAGCCTTATACACCGGACTTATTATGGCGTCTTTCCAGTCTCTAGGAAGTCTGGACTGTCTCAGAGACATGTCGAATAGTATCGCTAATGGTTCAGCAATTTCATCTGATATGGCTTTTATAATCCTAGAATGAATATCATCGAGACCACTGGACTTATCAGGTTTGAGATGCTGAAGTAGCCTTAAAACAGTATCTTTCTCAATGACTACCGGATCCATCAGCGAGCCGTCACGGTCACGATGAATCGTTGGTCGTTCCTCATTACCGATAGAAAACACTTTACTAAAATATTCCGGTAAAGCTTCAGCTTTTTCGGCATCATTCTCTGCTAAGATTAACGGATTGTCTCGTATCAAAAGTGATGGAATTCCATCGCTTCTCTTAGTTCGCCTTTTTATATACGAGAATAACCGTTTCGGACTATATCTAGAATCCCTAACCAATTTTTTTCGTATGAATGTCTAGTCTTGCTTATTAACGCTTTACAGGCAATCCTAATCTTACAATAACTGGATCTGTATTGTTCTAAGCCAGTAGAGATGAACATATTCCAGTGATTCTTCCTTTTTCTAAGGAATTTCCTGACCGTTTTAGTTATCCATGGTGGACTATTATTCGGTCTTCGCGGTACCAGGTATGGTATGAACGGGGACGTAACTAGTCTAAATTTACCTTTAGATACAGACCATGCTTCTTCAACTGATATGCTAGTATCTACTAACCAATCTGTCTTAGCAGCACATTCCTGAATGGCTGATATGTTAGCTTACCATACATTTGGGCGCGGTGTAACCTGATCGTATAACATGTCCCTAGTTCTAAACGCGAATGACAAAACAGCGTGATCGCTGTTTACTAACGGTGGAAGAATATTTAAGTCGACAATATCCTCAGTCTCATGAGTGATTACCAAATCCAGCAGAGAAGAACCCTGGTTAACACCAAAACGTGTGGGTTGGGATACATGCTGCACTAGTGCATGCTCCATTATTGTTATCAGGAACCTACTATCAAAGGAGTTTATAGATCCTTCTACGGTCATATCAGTCCAACTAATATCAGGTGCGTTAAAGTCTCCTATTATCAAGCATCTGGTATTTTCACTCCAAAGATGAATGTGCTCTAAAATAAAGTCATCAGCTAAGCAGATTGGGCTGCGATAGATGATACCTAGCATAAATGTACTACATCCTATAGCCAACTTACAGCTAATGACTTCACAAGTACCGCTATCATGGGATTCGCTAGTAGGGGAGCGGATATTTATGCTATTGGCTATATATGACAGGACGCCGCCTCCTTTTCTACATCTATGTCTATCACTCCTGATGTAATGGTATCCGGATAATTCTGGAGTAATGTCTAAGTCATAGACTAACCAAGTTTCTGTCACTGCTACTATGAGTGGCTTTAACCTGTCCACTAGTTTCTAGTCCATAGAACTTATTTCGTAGACTACGAGCGTTGGCATATAGAACTCCTAAGTAGAATAGCCTATCCACACAGGCCTTGGTAGCATTCGCTCCCAAGACCTGACTATCCGAAAACCCACTAGCCGGAGATCTTCCTCGCCGTTTTGCCGACGGGTTTCAACTTCAGCTAATGCTTTCTTCCTTTTTATTCTATCTTCGAGAGACATGTCAGGTCTAACTCTGATGTCAGAATTGTCGTGACAACGAGCGCTACTTAGCAAGAGATTCCGTTGCTTCTCCGATCCTAGGATTACCTTAAGGAGTCTGCATGGACGGGGTTCAACATTGTCCTCGGTCCTCTTGCCTATTCTTACCAATTTTTTGACCTGAACTCCTTTGGAGTTATCTGGTAAAATACTACGAATGTATTCTCCTAGCTTTTCTAAGTCATGCGCGTGTCCAATTTTCGGATCAGGGTCGTTTGACCCCCGCAATTTGCTCACAATAATATTCGATGTTATTAGATTTTTTCTCAGTCACTCCAGGATGGGTTTCACTCTTACCATCAGATCTCGGTAGTGCAGTTTGTGGCTCACAATTTGAATCCACCAGTGAGTTACTAACTACGTGTGTACTACTTACAGCTTTTTCATCCCTCATAACACTGGGACTATTTGGAACGGTGACTGTTTTATCCAGATCTTCGGTTCCCACTAAAGGTGCATTATTAACAATGTCAGTACCAGGTGGTACTACTCCCCCTGTTAATGTCAACGGAGATTTCACTTTTACGTCGGTCAGAGTCGGTTGTTTGAGGCGTCGCGTAACAACAGGTACTACACTGACACATTCGTCACTGTCAGTGCCGTGTTGTCAGCGCATATACCATCGTTCTTCTTACAGGTCAAAGCCAATAGGCTCATAGCCTCCTGTATTAGTAATGCCTTGTTGGCACAGCAAAACATGCAAAGCCAATGCGAGTTAGGCTTCGAACATCTTTTGTATGCGGTGGGACTTAAACGGGTGCACATTCTGTGGAACCACTTATTGCATTCGTCACACTGTATTCCCTCCTCCACAGGGAACAAACAGTTTGGTTGTCCACATTTGTGAGTAGTACCAACCATTTTAGTCAGATCAAGGCGTAACACACAATATGATCACAGTATGAACACAAATGTCAGTCAACGAATAAAAGGTTACCACAAGACAAACTTTAGCAAGATTTTAAGCCTTAACCAAAGTACTTTGATACAGACCAAGAATGCTTTCGAATGTAATAAGTACACAAGAGCCAAAAAAGCTCAATAGAATATCACTTTAACTGTAGTAGATTCAATTAAAGTGTAAATCGTAGTTTTGATACGTAATTTACGATCAAAACAGTTAACTAATTCAACGAGAAACAATACCACTGTCCTTTTTAGATAGTGCGTCTAGAACATTTCTAGCTCGTAATGGAATGTCTAATAACACGAGGAATAACTTACCTCCCGAAAAAAGCACACTTCATTTGATTACGAGCAATAATTTCCTGAATATTACGGATTTTCTGGAGATGGTGTTCAACTTCAGCATGAACTCCTTGTCCGATAAGTCTGGAAAACCTCTCTTCTGTAGGTAAGAGTTTTTAAAGTTGGGTACAAAAACTACCTTCACTTTGTTCTCGAGTAAATTTGTGACTTTCAGACACATAACTTAAAATATCTTCATATATAGAAGCTAGTTCCTTTTTGGCTTCTTTGAATTTATTTAGGTGGGGATGGCTAAGCTGACGCCGAAGGCCTGTCATTTTCTGACGCAGTTCACTAGTTGAATTATAAGGATACGACGACATCGCTATCAGAACACATCCAAAAAGTAACGGCTTATTTGAAATACGTACATGTTCAGTATTCAGTCTTCAGTAATAAGGATAGTAGGTTGGTGAACCTGTATTAATCCTGACACATTGCTTTCCAGTGAAGGTCCAGCTTCTCCTTGAAGATATTCACTGATGGGGCTGATACCACTTGTTCGGGTAAGGCGTTCCAATCATTGACTACTCGATGAGAAAAGCGGGACCACACTTTAAGTTTATTAGATCGTGGTTTATGAACCTTCTTGCTATGACCTCGAAGATTATAAGTGCTGGAGGGAGCAAAAAGCTAAGACATATTAACACCCAAATCACAATTAAATATACAAAATGCCAGTATGAAGTCACCTCGTATCCTACGATACGACAAGAGGAAAAGATTTAGGCGTTTTAAACGCTCATCGTAAGGGAGTTTACAAGGACCCTTCACTAATTTCGTTCCCACACGCTGGACACGCTCAAGGGAGTTAGTATCCTTTACTAGACATGGGCTAGCTGCTTGGATACAGTACTGTAAACGTGGTCTAACATATATGGGATATAAAATTCGAGACGTTTCCTCGTCAAAAGATTTGAACGCTCGGCGAAGTGACCATAACGCACGAAAACCTTTGACAGCGGCTGCTTTGCAATGCGCAGTTGTTTTTAAATCATGACTTAATATTACTCCTAAGTCTTTATGCTCTTGAACGCAAGGAAGAGGTTTACCCTCAATAGTGTAACGGTAACTATTACCGTGATCGATGTGCATTAGTACACTTGTAGTGGCATTGGACAATAGCCACACAATCCACAAAGCTGTGAACACGAGACTACTCAGAAAATAGATATTCAATATTTAACTCGGGGAAATACCTAACAATGGAGAAGGCGCGAACAAGGAATTGAATGGACTGGAGTTGATCGAGTGGCATGGCTCGGCCGTGCAGGCGTGGTCTCGCTGAATGTTACCTTATATCTTATATTCATATTAAATATATTGTTCTTTCTCTAGCCTAACCTTGTTCTTCATCATGTATTGGTAATTGATACGATACAGTGAGTTGGTGTAGTCGATGGTGTGACTTCCACGTAAGATCTTAGAGATAAGGCAGTTATATCATGACAAATCTACAAATTTAGGATTAGGTCTATTATTAGAGCAGTACTAATATCATAGTAGACTATAGTTCTACACACTCTTCCTAGCATTGATTTCTAAGCCCCAGTTTCGAGCCCATCTAACTAAATCGTCCAAGCCAGCTTGAAGATCCAGATGGTCAGCCGCACTTTTTATCGTTCTCCAGATTTTTACATCTTCCGCAAACAATAATGTCGACGTCCTAAGTAACAGCGGTAACTCATCAAAGTAGAGAAGGAAGAGCAGAGGGCCTAATATGGCGTCTTGGGGTACACCAATTTTGACCGGCTTCCAATCGGATGGCTTTCTATTGACCTTCACTCTCTGTCTGCGGTCACATAAGAAGTTTCCTATCCACTCCTGTACAGTACTTATTATTTCGAAGCTCGTGAGCTTCTGCATCAGACCTACGTGTGAAACCTTGTCAATTGCTTTGCCAAAATCTTTGAATATCACATCGACAGGCAGACCTTTATCTAAGGTTGCTGTCCAATCCTCTCTCGAATAAGTAAGTTAGTCAAGCATGAACGCTTGTTACGAAATCCATGTTGCTCAGGAGCTAACAGATTGTATGAATCTATGTGGCTTAGCAACCTAGCCCGAACTGTCTTTTCAAGTAACTTAACGACAATGCTAGTTAGACTGACAGGTCGGTAGTTAGATACGATCTGTCTCTGACCATCCTTAAACATAGGACTGACTATAGCGTCTTTCCAATCTCTAGAGCGTTGAGTGAGTGAAAGGGACATGTTGAAGAGTGTCACGAGCGGTTTTGAAATAATTTCCGCAAGAGATAACAGCAGCCATGGATGTAACTCGTCAGGGCCCGGTATTTTCCAAGGTTTGAGGTTAGTTATCAACGGAGGGACAGATTCCTCAGTCACCTGTACAGATTCAATGGTTGGTATCTCGGTATGAGTGGGACAAGCATTTTTTACAATAAACATAGAGTACACTTCGCTTGCGCGATCTGATTCAGCAATTAAATCTGAATTTTCGTGTAACAGTAACGAGGGAATACCATCACTACGTTTCAGTCGCCGTTTATAATCAGAACAGTCGTTTCGGACAAGTACGGCATTCATATGCCAACTGTCGTTCGTAAGTAGTACGGGGTTTACCTATGATTTTCTTACAAATATCCCGGAATTGTTGGTACCCACGCTTAAATGATGAGTGACCTGTCAACAAGAATAAGTCCCAGAAGAGTTTCCTACGCTTTAACGGCTTCCGGGTTTCCCTATTTATCCATGGAGGGCAATATGATAGCTTACATGCTGACCATGGGATAAACGGTGACGTTACGGACTCGAATGTAGCCTTAAACTTATTTCATTCGTCTTCGATCGATCCACTCGCGTCGACTGGCCATTCAGTCGAGGTAGCACAGTTTCAATTAGCTCGCCAGATATTGAGGCGGGGTGGAGTAGATACAAATTGCATACCATGTGTCCTGAACTTAAAGTAAAGTACAACATGATCACTGCTCATTAGTGAGGGAAAGTGCTGAATATCAAAGATATTCTCACAGTGGTGGGTGAGGGCGTGGTCCAGCAGTGACGGATCATGTTTCAAGTCAATATGTGTCGGTTTTGCGATACATTGTACAAGTGCACACTGAATAACGGGGCTGTAAGCTCGATCCAGTTGATATGCGGTGCGTTGAAGTCCCCACTGATGAGACAACGTTCTTCCATACTCCAAGAACAGATGTGTCTTAAGATGAAGTCGTCAGCAAGACAACACAGACTGCAGTATATTCCCTCTATAGTCACCAACCCATTTCTAGATCTAATCTTGCAACATGCTACCTCACATGAACCACTAACACGAGCCTCAGATATGATTGATTGTATACGGAAGTGATCCCTAACAAATAACGTTATGCCTCCCCGCTTGCGACTTAAAACTATATCACTTCTAATACAGAAATAGCTTTCGTGTCTTAAGGTAACCCTCGTGCTATTGATAGAAGAAACCAGAGAAGTAGTGAATAGGTCTTTATTTCGGTGTTCGCGCAGTCACAGTGGAGCGTGGGATTATCTGTTCAGACAAACAAAGGCTATTAACATTCAATATAAGATATTAGGGAATATAACGCTTATACAAAATAAGGAAGTGAATGAATACTTGAACAATACTGTTTTGGCATATGCTTGGTTGTTTGGGGTCAACTCTTAACCAACCAACCTAAGCTGTTACATTAGCTTCCCCCTAGGATCGACTTCCGTAGGAACGTCGTTTCGATTAACCTATCTATCGAAAACACCTTAGTTCTATTTCTCATGCCAAGGGAAAATTATCAACTCGCTCACTGTTTGACTTACAATCAATGACGACTGACGCTGTCAACGATAGTCCATGGATGTCTCTTCATTTACTAGCTTGTCATCTTATTTTGTAGCATGTGATTTCTTCTACAAATATCGCCGACAGTTTGCTGCGTGCTTGCAAGAGAAAGTGTGAGAATGTGGAACAAGAATATCTGAGGAAGTGCCGCGAGCGGGCTACCCAACACCATGTTGGTTAGGTACGATTTTTCCATGCTCAGACCGGCTATCAGGTGTTTACTCACCTGCCTCTTGAGTTGCCCTCAAGTAAAAGGTAAAGAAGAATCTACTTCAAAGGTAATGGTGAAAATCAAGCAAGCCTGAAGAACTGCTCCACTGCCTGCATAAAATGATTAGATACAAAATGAAAATACATAAGTGTAATTGATAATTGTTCGGTTCCATGTAAGTGCTTGACCTCCAGAACGGATTGGTATTCTGGAAGGAAATAGACATGGTGTAGATATCTTGTGTACGAAAAACCATGAAAACAAAAAATTATACTCTTTTGTCATGCATATATGCAAAAGGGTGAACTTGATAGAAGTTAGACTCTAACAAAATCGATCAAACGCATGTCCTAAAACGCGCTTATTTCAAAAAAAGCAGTGACTTTTGTACTTGTTGTGATTATACTTGCTTTTGGTACTTATTGCATTAAAAAGCATTCTTGATCTACTTTAACTAAGAGTTCTTTGGTTAAAGTTTGAAATTTTTTGCTACATTTTGTCCTGGGTACCTGTTTTTAGTTCTTGACTAACACTTGTGTTCACATTGTTATCATTTTTTGTTTTTAAACCTTTTAAATCGAATTACAATGGTTGGTAAGACTCACAAATGTGGGCAACCAAATTGTTTGTTCTCCGTTGAGGAGGGAATGCAGTGTGACGACTGTAAAAAGTGTGTACACGACTAAGTCCGACGGCTTACAAAAGATGCTCGAAGCCTAACTCGCATTGGCTTTGTGTGTTCTGCTGTACGGATAAAAAGGTACTAATACAGGAGGCTATGGGTCAGTGTAGTAAGTGCTGCTACTGGACCCATTAAACACCTGACTGCGATTGACGGGAACGTGAAATCTCCGTTGACATTAACGAGGAATGAGGTGTCGCTTGATATTGACATCGACAGTCATACACCTCTAGTCGAAATAGAAGATCCGGATAAGACTGTCACCGTTCCACATAGTCCAGGTGTGGCTGTTCTGAGTGGTGACAAATGGACTTCGGTAAGAAGAAAAAAATAAGAAGGAAAAGGCTGTAGGCAAAATGCAGCTGGTCAGAAGAAAAATCCTCACCGCGTGAAAAGACAGATCTCTCTGAGAGATCAGTCATTTTTCATAAGATAAGAGAATCTTCAGACACTGAACCAAAGGCAAGATTTGAACATGATCTCAATCATATTAAGACATCATTAAGTAAACTACTCCCAGATACAGTTTCAGGAGTTAGTATTTGTAAGCTTTATAGAATGGGAAAAAAGGTGGATTCCGAAAGTTCTCAGAAAAACCTCCTCCTAAAGGTTACATTCAACACGGTGGAAGAAAGGAACCTGGTTCTAAGTAATTCACGTAAACTGATTGGATCCGGAATATA